TGAGACTCTAACTCAAAAAAAAAAAAAAAAAAAAAGACCATAAACCTCAATATATTTCAAAAAAAGAAATGTATGACTAATACTTTTATTAACATTTAGGAAAATTCTTACTAGATGAGTACTATGCATCTTCTTGTACATTTCTTTTAAGTGATAAGTAATTTAAATGATTGTTTCTATGTTGCAACATCTTTGGAATGTATAGAAAGATAAAATGTACAATTTTAAAAGACAAAGCAGAAGACTCAAATAAATTGCATTTAACGGGACGACTTTGAGCTATCTCCTTTCTCCCTAATCCTTCATTCCTCTCTGCCCTTAGAGGAATTGAGCTCAAAACTTTGAGAAAAGATTATGAGAGCTTAGTGAAACTAGTCAATAAATCCCTACTAGAGTTAATAGAGTTAAAATCTTGGCTCTTCCTCACCTTTTGCACAGGAAATTAGTGAATATTGGCCTATTATAGACCCAAAGGAATTTCTTATAATGACATTTAAAGACTAGGCTGGTCTTCAGGGGAAAGATTTCTGTAAAATAGGCATGCCTTGATTTTCTCAGGACAAAGGAAACTGCCTATTCAGCTACACTCTGAACTTTTCTGGGTTAATGCTGAGTCTTGTTTACTTTTGTACCCCCAGTATTGGGTAAAGCTTGGATCATGGTAATTTCTCCTAAAATGCCATATATATATATGTATATATATATATATATATAAATAATATTTTATATATATACTTTATATGTATAAATGCTCTCTCTCTCTCTCTCTCTCTCTCTCTATATATATATATATATATATATATAAAATGTAAGCTTCCTCTCGCCTGTTGGCAGGTAAGATGGACTTAGAACATCGAACTTCTCCCCTTCTATCATGGCTTAGCCCCAGCCAACCTTCAGGGTAGTGGTCAGGGGAAAATATTCACTTCTAGGAAAAATCAGTGTATTCCCATGTGCTCTATTTTGGTCTGGGATCTATGGCTAGGGTTGCCCTTCTCACTGGTGTTCAGCAGATTCTTAGTGGAAGATGAGTGAGAGGCTGTGTGTGGCTCTAGCTTGAAGAAGGAATTCAAGAATGTATTTGACATTCCAAGTTCAATTGTGCCTTTGTTTCTTCCAGGTGTGAGGAAATTCAACAGGGGAAAAAGGAAGAACTATTGACATAATGTAAGAAAGGGATAACTGTAATGCATCTGATGCTAGCTATCTCCAAATATTTTCTCCAACAGGTGGGACCAATGGGTATAAGGTGTAGGTGTCAATGGTTTCCAAAGTTGAGTGAACGTAAAAAACTGAAGAGAAGTGATGGCCCTTTAAAAAGTATTGTGAAAATTGTTAACTAAAACCAAATTTGAAAGATCATTCATCACAAACTAATTTGAGAATTATTTTATTAAGAAATACATAGTGTCAACTACAAAGGAGCATATGCATTTTCAAAAGTGCTCACAAAATAAATTAAAATACATTCTATAAATTTAAAAAATATACATACGTAGTAGCTATAACAAAGACACATCTTCAGAATATACTTGCAAATACCACTCTTGTCTGTTAAAACTTGGCTTAGAATTTTTTCACAATATTTTGCTTGAAATTATTTCAAATTGCTTCATTATATTTACAACTATTTGTGCACCCCTTTTGCTCTTATTGTCTTCTTTTGTAAATTTTTAGCATAACACAAAAAGTGTCGTTGCATTTAGAAGAAAAACATACCTTTTAAACAGAGGTTTTGAGGCTATCATTGACTTCAACATTTTTCCTTTTTCCAGGATAAAGTTCTCCTTCTACTAGACTTTTAGATTTTTCCCTTGAGTAAGGCTTATGCAATTACAGCTGAAAATTAATTGCCATGAAGTCAGTCATAAAAGTTATAGAACCTTCCCCAACATTTGAGGGGTAGTACTTCCCCCACATTATAAGCTTACATTAAACAATTTACAAAAATAAGTTAAAAAGCCCTTCTGTAATTAAAAAAATAACTATTGTGTTCTTTTAAATGTCACAGTTAATGTTTCATCTGCTTAAAGTGGAGTTACTTTGTTGCTGTGAAATATGACCGTAGTTAAGATGATTTACTTCGGGTTCCGTGAAATCGAAGGAGACGACGCCACAATCCTAGTAACTGTGAAACTTGTTCCAGGCATGTATTTGTTGTGACTTCTCTTTTCCTGGTCTTCTTCATTACTCGGGCATTATTTATCTATGGGATAGGAGAATTAATAGTCAAAATTAATTTTCACTATCTTTAACATGTGTTGTATGCTGATTATGTCACCTTCTCTGCGCAAATTCATCTCTCAATGAACCCCAAAGCACCTGCTTGCTATACAAATATGCTATATGAGTATGTGATTTCTCCAGAGAAATGCCCTCTTGTCTTTCTACCCAGTTATTCTTGCTTTGAGGCCAAGTCCCGCCACCAAGCCTCTGTTAATTGCGCAGGCCTTTTTTTCTGGAAATTCTTCTAGTGCTTAAAAGTGTGTGTCATTTAACTTGGCTCTCACATGCTGTTCTTAGTATTACATCATAGGTATTCCCCATGGCACTGAGTGCAGTGTCTTATTCATAGAAAACACTGAATAGTTATTAATGATTACATAAATGAATAAATTGGTGATTTCAAGATCTCCCTGACAAAATCATAAACTCTTCTCAAGCAGGATCTATATCACACTTTTTAAAAAAATAGAAAGCAGAATTTATTGAGAGGACAGAAAAGCTCCCAGAGTGGGAGGGGACCTGAGGCGGTTGCCCTATCACACTTCGTTATAGGCCATAATTCAGTAAATTTAGTCTATTATTTGGACCCAAGTATTTCTGTTCCACATTCCCCACACCGTCTAGATGTGCCACAGACAGCCGAGGGCTTATTCTAAAGATGATTTCAGTGTATAATTTTACCTGAATTACCTTTGAGTAGTGACAGACTGGACCTCCTAGACACACAGTACACAGAATGATAAAGTCATTGGGTTACTGAGTGAAACTCTGTGTCTGAAATCTACTAAATCATAACTAAGTAATATTGGTTTTAGTCTTCCCATTGGGTTTGGAAGGGTATTGAAATAAATTTCTCCAGACTCTCCCTTTCTCACATGTTGCCAAAGATCTTGATATAGCCTGGTCTTTGTGCTCTTCTTATATGAATGAACTGTATCATGGCCATCTGTAGACTTGCCAGGGTTTCCTTGACAAGAAGGCATGCAGCCAAATAGGTTTCTCAAATAACTGCCTGGTATTGAGTTTCTAATTCAAGTACAACCCAGATCAGTCTATGGCTTCAATTTTTAAACCCTAAAAAGTGATAATCTTAGCTGGGCTCGGTGGCTCAGTCTGTAATCCTGCGCTTTGGGAAGCTGAGGTGAGTGGATTGCCTGAGTCCGCGGGTTCCAGACTCGCCTGGACAACTTGGCCAGACCTCATCTCTACAATAAATCAAAAATTAGTCTGGCATGATAGCGCGTGCCTGTAGTTCCTTCCAGCTACTTGGAAGGCTGAGGCGGAAGGATCGCCGGAACCCAGCAGGTCGAGGCTGCAGTGGCCCGGAGTGGCCACTGCACTGCAGTCTAGTGACAGAGTGAGACTCCAGCTCAAAAAAAAAAAAAAAAAAAGTGATAATCTTGACCACCCAGATACTCAGATAAAGTATCTGATAAATTCCACTGGGTTAATAAGCAACAATTATACATATCTGAATTTGTCTCTCCATGTCTTTGTTAAACTTGTTATCATAACGATAAATTCTCTGCCTTACCTGCCTACTGAAATAAATATTTATTGAGTACCTGCTATGTGCCACACACTGTTCCAACTGCATTTACATGTATTGACTCATTCAATTCTCATAAACACCCTATGAACTAACTAATGAGGTACTTATTTTGCTCAGGAATTCGAGGCACACAGAGACTAAGTAATTTATCCAAGTCTTCACAGTTAGGAGTTAATAGGGCTAGGACTCAATATCAGGCAGGCTATCTGCAGAGTTCCTACTCCTAGCTCTCCACCACACTGTCTCCATATTTAATGTTACACCTTCAGTCAAGTGCATGTAACTGTATGTGCAAAAACCTATTAAGTAAAGAGACAACAATAGCACCCATACAAGCAATTTATCAAATATAGGGTAGATTAATATAATACAATACAATATATTGTAAAATTTTATGAAGGAAGCACACAGTTATTACATGATACGTTCATGTAGTGTTGCTCAAACTTTGTAATGGACAATAATCTCTTAACAAGTACCATCACTTGGGATTTTGATTTTGATGATCTGGATTGGGTCCCTGGGAATTGTCGTTCCCTAACCCCCTATACTCCATCAGTCAGGACATTCCGATCCCAGTGGCTCATTGATCATACCTTGAAACACTGCTCTGAGGTTTAGAGCCACAATTCAGTCCAAACACAATAAGAACCCTAGAAATAGGTGGTTTTGAGTCCAGGGATCAACGCGGAACTCATTGGCAACCTACAGCTTTAAGGTAGCTTATTTGCTCTCCAAAAGATAAAACCCGGGCAAACATCAGAGAATGACTTCTGCACTACAGCCCCAGTTGAATTCAAGGTTAGCTCCAAATTACGACAAAGCAACAAGTATCCGAGGCGTCGGGCTTACCTGGATTCCTGGGTAGTCTGGGCAATAGCCAGTGAGGGTCGCTTTAGTTCTCAAGGCGAACGTTTCCTTGGCGAGTGACGCGCAGCGGTGGGTGGGAGAGATGGTTAGGCGCTCGATTTCAGCGAGGCAATGTGACTGCTCACAGGCGGAAAATATTACGAGAAAGGGAGAAAACGCCCAAAAGGAAAAGAGAGAGACGGTTGATGAGAACCCAGTGAAAGCGACTGCGAGGGAGGTGGGGGAGAAGTAGGAGACCCAGCAACCCTGAGTGAGAACGCTGAGGTCACAGCTGAGCAGTGAGAGGAACCAACCCCCGAGAAGGAGGGGCGTCGCGAGAGTCGCTCTGGGCATCTGACGCGGGGGACCGTCACCCACGCTCGCTCCGCCCAAGCGATCAAAAGCCCGCGCCCGAACGCGGAGGCGCGGGACTCCGGCAGGTGGTTTCCCTGGTCCCAATTCTCTATTCGCCTTTCCTCTCTGGGGCAGCCTCTCTTAGAATCCCGCTCGAGACTTCCTCTCCCTACATTGGAAGCGAAGTGGCGTCCCCGGCTGGCAGCTCGGATGTCCCCTACGAAACGCAGCCACCGTCCTGGGTCCCATGCACCGCAGGATACCCCCTCGCCTGAATGCCTAGCATCTCCCTGGAGAAAGCCAGCAGAACTGACCACGCTACTCACCTGGTTGTAGCAGGGAACAGTGCTGTTGAATTTGGTACTTTTGGTCTGGAAGAAAGAAAGAAAGAAAAAAACAAAACAAAACGACAAGGAGGGTAAAGACTCTTAAGTGCACCGGGAAAATCATCCCCCTGCCTTTTGCTCCCAGACTTTAAAAGTGCTCTGAAAGCAGTTTCCATTTAGGTACCTGTTGCCTATGTCATTGGTGAGGCGGTGAAATATTTAGTTCTCAGATAGTCCTGGCTAGTGTTTGAAAATGGACATCAAAGAGTTCAGATCCGAGGCACCCCCCTTTCAAGCTGGCACAACTGCACACAGCACTAGCATGTGAGCAATAAGGCCATCCTTTGGATGTCCACATCTGCCCTGCAGTCATTCATGCATGTAAACTCTATCTAGAAATTAGAATGATCAGGAAAATGATTACTAGTATATATTAACAACAACAAATCCAAAGCACGCCATATCCCATAATGGCATCCTGAAACATTCAGAGCACTAGAAAGACCTGAAGCACAGGTTCAGTTCTTAGCTGCACTCACTCTTTAGGGCTCAGCTAACAAGAATTCCCTCTTTGTACTCCTCTTTCTTTCCCAAACTCTTGCCCCCTGCTGTCTATTTATTGCATAGCCAGAGAAGCACTTTGGCAGAGGGTGGACACCCTTGTTGCATAATGTGCTATATCTATCAATACCTGCTCCTCCTCAGCGTATGCACACCTAGGATGTGCTAATTTCTAGATAGTCATTTTAGATGCCAGTATGTTTGAATATCACTTGTAAAAACTTTTGACAGAATGCTGTGCCAGGAATTTTTCCAAATTATTTTTCTTTCCTAGAAAGTTAAATTGTAGTTTAAGTGTGTGTCTACCTACCCTTCTGATGAGGATATGTTTGTTAAAAAAAAAAAAATCATGTTTCTTCACTTACCCCATTCATATATGTATTCAGGTCATTATAAATTAATGTATAGTCCTGTGTAATCTTCTTAAAGTCACAGTTAGTGAAGTCATAAGTTAGCACCAGCCCTACCAGTTGCAAGATGACGATTTTCCTGGAAAAAACTGACATAACAAATAATAAGGCAACAGGGAATGTACTTGGAAACCCAATACCACCCCAGTTTCACACTAAACTCTTCCCACCAAGACTGCATTGCTTCTAGATCTACGAGGCCTGCCTTAGGGGCCAGGGCTTAGGCACCAGTCTATGCCTCTCAGTTCCAGTCCACAGGAGGCCCATATTCACCCATGCTGTTGCCTTAAGTTGGAGTCTCCCTGATGCTCCAGAGCTTTCTGGCTCCAAATATATAACACCTACACGCCTACGGGCTCTTTTCTCCTAGGCCAATGATTTTCTTCCATGTCATTCTCTTCCTTTATAGAATTCTGAATTGATGATGTGAAAGAAGAAAAAATAGGGCTAGCCAAATCTATGGAATTTTGACATTAGTAAAAATCATCAGGAATTTCCCTCACCTTCCTCCTTTTTTCTTTGCCCTAAACCCTTGATGTTCCAATGTGCTTTAAGAAATAGATAACAGCATCTTTCTCCTATGGGGTAGTTTCCATGACCAACACTTTCTCCTTGGGAAAAACACTTTCTGAAACCAGCAGCGCCTCTAAGGACTTGGTACCGGCTGCCGGCGCATCCTGAACACCTTTGAGCGCTTCCTTTGACCACTTCCCAGCGGTGTGTTTCCTCCTCCTTGGTACTGAAATACTGTGTGCTTACCTATGGGATACTTTGGAGGGTGGGTGCAGCCTCAGGTTTGAATGGCGCTTCCACGTGAAAGCATTAAATGTGCTATCGTGACCAGAACTTTAGGGACAGGACCGATAAGAGACTGAAATTAACAGGGAAAGATCTGATGGGGCTCATACTCAAACACCCTACTTTCCAAGACCCCTGTATCAATGCCAGGAAGAGTGCCTACTCTTGGTGCCTAGGGGCGCGCTTTACGGGCTGAGGTCTCCTCTAGCATGTTATTGTACATGTCAGAAACTTTTAAAGCGACAAAGTCCAGCGCCCCGTCACCTTCCCAACTCCATTCTTGAGGTCAGCATTAAGTGAGAACGCGACGCAAGAAGCCGGGTGAGACGCGCCGCCCGGTGCGCAGCGGTGAGCGCAGGGAAGATGCTATCCCGAGGCGGCCACGATTCCGTGTGCCCTGCCTCCCGCGCGTTCAGGCGCGCAACGTCGCCGGGACAACTTCGGTCACCTGGGGTCTGAGCCCAGGTACCCGCTTTAGGAACAGGAGAAGCAGCGAGACGGCGGGCTGAGATTTGTACTCGCTAATCCTCGTTGATTAAAAAGAAAAGGAAAAAAGGAATTTCAGCGCAGCCAAGTGAGTCAGGAAGCTTTGCCTGACTAGCTGCGGTCTGAGCTCTCCAGCGGTGCCAACAGAGGGTGACAGGGAGGGAAGGCCGACACGGATCAGGATGCTGGGTTGAACCCAGCGCCGCCCGAGCTTGGCCCACGTAGCCCGGCTCTCTCGACGCCCAGCTCCCCTCTGTCTCCTTCCCCCTCCCTCTTGCATGTCAACGCCTGCATCGCCCTGGTCCTCGGGAAGTTCCTAGGAGTCATCGCCGGAGCCGAAGAGGTTGGGCGCTCTATGTGAGTCCCAGCAAATGTCACGAGACGCGTGGCGTCTGGGAATAATGGCGAGGAATGCGGGGAAAAGAGTCAGGGTCAAGCTCTAGCCAGACGTGACCTTTTTTTTTCTTTCATAGAAGGCACTCAGGAGTGTCAGCCTCTGATTCACCGCTAACTTCAAAAATGGGCTTTTTTGGAACCCTCCATGTCTTGGACTCAAATGCCCCTCGCCCCCTACCGTCTTAATATCAACTTCTCAGGACATTGTGGGATGGTGCCAAAGCTTGATTCATCTGTTATGACGTTTGAGATGATTCTAGTCGGCAGCTGGGCATTGGATTGGCAGACAGGATCAAGACACCCAGATTTCTACACTGCGTTGGAATAACTCCAGCGGACAAAGCAAAGGGCATGATGGCTGCTTCTGTCACCCTCACCATACGTGGCTTTTCCTGTAGTGGCTTGCTGTAGGGCCAGAGAGTGTGTCTCCAATAAAACCTCCTGCTACATCTCTTGATTGCAGATGGGGTCACGAGGCAGAATGCAACCCAGCCCGCGCTGAGATTCAAATTGGATTGTTCTAGAGGTATAACCAGGCTGTCCCTCTTCTTTTGTTTCTTCCTTTGAAACATCATGCTTATGATGTATGTCATTCTTTGTAGAGATGATGCAAGCAGGGTGAGTGCCTCCTCAGGCATCCTGGAAGACCTTCCTTTGTCTTACAAACATCGCTAAACACTTCTCCCTATCTGTAATTATGTGACCTAGATCACTTTGGTTAAGTTACTTTTCTGTTAAAAAAACAAACAAACGGACAAACAGAAAACCTGGCAGACTCAAAGTTGTTTTGAGATTTCCATCGTTGACTCTCAGCTGCCTTTTGTGCCTTATCTCATTCACTCTCCTAGGCCTCCATCAAACGGCATCTAAAGGTAATACGCTCTAAACATGCTCAGAGCATTCTTCTGCCCAACCTCACACCCTCAGGTGTTGGATTTACATGTCATCCAATGTTCATCTCATTTGACATCTCTAAAAGTAGTCTTCTAGCTGAATGTGACCTCATTATATGATGGGGGACCCCCCAAATCAGAATTTATTTATAAAAAGTTATGTATTTATTTTTACACGTTTACTCTTCAGTCACCTTCAATGTCCTGTCTGATGCAACACACCTATTGAGATACTTTCCCCACTGCTCAAAAGTTTTTGAACTCGTCAATGTTGATACCTTTTACTTCTGCCTTTTTTGTTTGTTTCACCTCTTCCATATCAGCAAAATATTTCCCTTTGAGGGAAATATTTTTAATCTGAAGAAACAAAAACAAAAAAGTCAGTTAGAGCAAGATGAGGTGAATAGGAAAGGATGGACATGGAGGTCATGCCATTTTTTGGTCAAAAACTGCTGAACACTCAGCATAGTGTGGGCAGGTCCTTATAAATCACCCATCATGAAATGGGCAAATGTGTTGAAAGAAATGCCAAAAAAAAAAAAAAAAAAAATTCGGTAAAGCTGAATACAGCCTCTCACAATAATACTATCTGGTACCCTGATGTTGATGGGTTCTTAGAACATTTATTAAATGGGGAAAATCTGTATTACAAGAGGCCTGGTCTCCAAAAGAAAATTCTTTTATGGGGGGGGGTTCCCCTTATATTTTAAACTATATTTATTTGGGGCTTCTTCCTATGGCTTTCATAGATTCCATGTTATTTCAATAATGATTTTCAATCTTATCTTTGTACTAAATTGTGAATTCTTTAAAAAGCAGATAATGTTTTATAATAATTTGTTCAGTATCTATTTATTTTTCCAAAAGCATTTGAAGGGACTTTCAATAAATGCATTGGTGCCAAAACGAAAAAAAAAAAAAGTCAAGGTAAGACAAGAGAAAGGAAGCAAGAAACAAAGGATGTCAGGTTTAGGTGCAGGGGGAGACACAAAAAAGCATTCTTAAGAACTGGAGCTAATAAGTGAGTTCTGAGCTTCCAAACAACCACAAAGGGTAGACTATGATGAGTCCTACCTCATACAAATTCATTAGGGAAGCCAATGTTTCTTAGATCTGTGGTCATCATCATAACCACAATAGGGCTCAGTCTTATGTACTACATATAGCAGATAGTCAATGATTCCTCAATAGGTTGAAGCATATTCACTTTCTGTGAAGATCATTGTCAGGAAGCAAATTATTTTCTTTTGAAAGAACCTCTCTACAAAGATTTATTTTTCTAGTTTTTTGCTGCCATCTTCCTGGAATCCACTTATACCTCACCTGGAGTCACAATTCAGGCCAGGGCCATGTTTGTGAACATTCCTGGTGGGCTGAAAAGCTTCCTATATTTTTCTCTTTTCATTTGTGTAAATGCTGAAGGAGTGAACAGTATCCTCATGTGTAGTTTGAGAAATCCTAGGTTAGGTCAAGAATGGTATATCTTTCACATGCTAGGAAACAGTAGTGAGATCATTTGTAGGTCTCTGTGATTACTCAGGGAGCTTAGGCAATACTCTCACCATCACCCAGGATATGGGCCAGAAAGTGATCCATGACATAGCACTCTTTTCTCCTGCCCTCACTGAAAAGATATATCATCCATTTATTTTCTTAATATTTATTTTTCTTGTTTTAATAATACTTCTCATTCTTTATTTCCTAATTCTTTCCCTCCCTTTTTAAAAACTTACTTATTTCCTCCCCTTTAAATTGTCTTGAATATTTAAAATAGCCTAGAACTCATGCAGAATCCAGTTTGGGTTTGAAAAAAAGACCAGAGTTGCCAGGAAAAAAGACTCCTATTTTTCCCCCATGACATAATAGAGTTCTTGTACTTAAAAAATGGAAGGAATATTGGCAAATGTATTGATGATATGGGGAAAATATCTCTCTAAGGAGTAAGAAAAATCAGTGAATGACACCAACTTTAGCTTGGCAATAATTTGGAAAGGGTAACAATAGACTGTAATAATGGACTTTCCCCAGCAGAAGGAGGTTCTTATGGTCCTAGAAGTAAAGTGTATTTCTCTGGATCCTCCAGAATGCTAGTCATATAATCATTCTACCTCTTAGTTTTCATATACTCATACAGAAAGGAAGGGTCATACTTAGCGGAGGTGAACAATACTTTTTTTGGTAGTCTGCCTTCATTGTTTAGAGTTAGATATAGCATTTATGTAATATGAAGTAGCTAGTAAATGATTTGTGATGGCTGCAGCATATGTCAATTTTGCCCATTTCCTTTGCATTTTACCTTTGTGCTCAATCAGCTTTGCTGTTGTTCTGAATCACTGATATGGCTCACCAAACTGCAAAATTTTGTTTAAGATCTTTTGGGGACATTTGTGGACCAGAAGGTGGAGTGAAGGAGTTTTCTGTGATAGATGTGAAAAACAATTCTTTCATTTTATTTTATTCCCGGGCTGAGTATACAGCATAATCACCCTATAACTGAGAAAGGTTGCCAGATCCTTTTGAATTAGAGAGTGGAGGAGGCTAAGTAAATTCATGTAAACCTAGTGCTTATGTTCATTCCTCTGTGAAGAAGCAGTCTTACGCTTAGCCAGTTGTAGGTGAAAGGACATCTTGCTTACTTTATTATTATTTTTTTCTTTAACATAACAGGACATGAATGAAGAGATTGTTCAAGAAAAATGTAGGAGTTCAGCTTTCTTAAAATACTTCAAAAAGGATGAAGAGGTCAGAGCTAAAGGATAGTCTCAGTTTTGGATACTTTATAAGGATATTTACTATACTGGACATATGCTATTTTACCTTTTAGGTATTCCCTCTGTCCTTTCCTCTCTTGCTTTGTACTTTGAATGGTGACACATAGGGATTGCATCAGCAGGATTCCCTACTCCAGCTTCTAGGTGAGTTCAGCCAATGGGAGATATTGACAAGAGATCAGAAGATGGGAAGACAGTGAAGATAGGATTTTAATTCACCAACTTCCTCACTGTTGGCTCACCCTGGATTGGATACTTTCCTTAACTGAGGACAGTAGCTCCTTTCAGTTGACCTTTTCATGTTGCTACCTTCCAGGTTCTATTAACCATTCTCTCCTTTTATCTTTTTAGGTCTGGGGGTGATAGCAGCTCCTCACTCTTGCTTGCTGTCCCAGAGATGCTGTACTATTCTAAAAGTTACTGTTTGGCTGGGCCAGATCCAGTTTCTACCATTGTCCTGGAATAATTGATCAATAAACCTTACTTTCACCCTCAAAAGTGATACAGTTTCTATAATAAATGATATGATTATTGATTTCTCTACTTACATACACGTTGTAAATAGTTCTTTCATTAAAACTTTCTACAGTCACTCGGTTTGAGCATGATGCTTTTTTCTTGTGGGCCATTGACTGATAAATGTACTCACAGGAGTCACCAGAATATCATAACATGAAGCCATCCACTAATATTTTTTTCCTAACCTTTTGTGTCTACCTTGTGGCATCATACTAGTTCTATAACTCTTGCACAAGAAACAGAAACTTTTAATGTTTAATTAAATTCTAATTTTTAAAAACAAGTTTCCTTGCTCTTAACTGTGAACGATGAGTTATGAGAAACTCTTCAATGCACCCCCCCACAATGAAATCTCTTCTTAGTGATATCATCAACCAGGATTTGCATGAAAGCTAGGCACCTACAGAACTCTATTGTAAATTTGCTTTATAGTTCAGCTCTTACTATTCTCAGTAGTGATCTCTAGGTTAAACAATCACCCTAAGTGTTTCCTCTCTCCAACAGAATAAGTTCCTAATAACCATTTTGTGTATCTCGTTGAGGTCCGCTTTCTTCTCATAGAGCCAGTCATGGCTTCTGAGAAAGGACTGCCTGAGAATTCTAGACTCATGGTGGGGGTGGTGGGAGGAAGAAACAGAAAAGAGCACTCTGGAACATTGAAAGAATATAAAGGGATTGCAAAGAATATGGGATATAAGAGT